AACAACAGGTAAAGGAATTGCAGATAGTGTGCAGGGAAGCACTAATCATCACTATCTAGGCATAAATAATTATAGGAAAAAATATCCCCACTCAGTTGCAGAAAAGAAAAAAGAATCTGATTATATTGAGCAAGTCAGAAAATTGGTGAGTATTCCTATTCAAAGTGCTAAAGTAAAAGCGTTTGGGTAAGAATTAGTTCATATAAACCTATGCTGAATCCCTTTCAATCTCTGTCTCACACTAGGTATCTGATCTGGCATAATCTGTGCCAGATATGTATGGCTATCTGTATGTACCACTGCTAGGCCATCTGCAGAGCTTGCTGTTTTCAATTTCCTTTGCTTGCAGTGAGTTCAGGACACGAGTATATTACAGAATCCCCAGCACATTGACAGAACATTTTATTTTATTTTTTTATTTTCAGTTTTGATGAGGCAGTTTAAATAACTCTAACCAGTCATGCTGGGATTACTCATATGAATTCTGAGCACACAGCACTAGTTTTTATGTTGATAATTATAAAATTGGATAACTATCAACACATGAACATAAGCAAGCTGCAGATATTTCATTTTCATCTCATGTTCCACTGCTGATCAGTCTGTTGTACTGCACATGCTGTGTATTTGCTTTACATCAGATGAGTTGAGAGGAGGGCAGGGTGAACTATTCACAAGGAACAATATGTTAGTTAAACATAGCCCTTTTGTCTTCTATTCTCAAGTTGTCTGCAAACAGATAGCTATTTTCATGATTTTTTTCCTAGTGTTTTCAATTATTGCACAAATGTTTTGGGTGGATATAAATCAATCTGAGATTGGTTTGCGAGCTGTTAGCAACAAGTATTGTTTTAAGTATTTAACATTTGTCATTCACTGAATTGTTTTGATTAGACATGCATCACAGATATGTTTCTGTCACTTCTCCAGATAAGCATGAGTCTAAGCATCAGTTTTCTAGAGTGCATGTTGATTGGACATTTATTTTCTAGGATATTAGCTTAAAATTTGTTTTGGTGTACATTCCTGTAAGTACATTTTAAAATATTCACAAAGAAGTGAGAAGAGAGTAAAAACCAATGCGTTTTAAAATTTGAATGCTCTCCTATTATTATTATTATTTTTTTAAGTGTTTAGTCAGCTCTAGTTGATAGTAAAAAGACTTTTTTTGATGCATTCTATAGGTCAGTTTAGAAGATTTAATCTCCCTTATCTGCATTTTTCCCCAATCCTTTGAAAATGGTGTTAAATATCAGTGGGATTTGCTTGATCCACCACCAGCCAGTAAAGTTCAGCTACTTTATTAGTTATTAAGTATTAAAAATAACTTTTTAAAGTCCATTGATCTTTTTGAGTAGCTACCCTATTTGCATGATATTTTTTGTTTAATTGTACACATTCAATCAGCAAATATGCATAATCTAGCCTCTGCTGGTGACAATAGGATTGTTCACAGGCAACAATTATGTTAAAAGTCCAATTTTTTTTTAGAACTGATATAGGTGCAGGTGTGCATGTATTTGAGAAGGATGCTTTTATATGGAAATTGAAGAGAACAGGAGAATTTCTTTTGAAGATATTACTGGAAAAAACTGTACGACCACAGGTGTGATACAATGAGAAAAAGAATATATGGCAGCTGATACATTAATATTCTTTACACACCCAATCTGAAAATAAAATTCAGTAAGAAACCCTTTTGTCAAACTTATTATGAAATACTTCTGAGTTTGAGCAAGTGTCTCTTATGAGGCAGTGATGGTCAATGGGAAAAGTGAATCGAAACTGTATGCGCCTATGGAATATAAGATTATGGGTTTTGTGAGGGTAGAGTATTGCCAAGCAGAAGTGTGAGGTTATACAGCTGAATGTGTTATATTATTTTTATATTTTACACAGACTTCATATTGACATTTCATCTCTACCTCACTGATTTAATAGGGTTGTGAACAGGGCAAGATACAAACAGCTGACTACTACAGAACTCAGTTTCTGCTGCAGTGATTTCATATTTAATGAAAACAGAATCATCTCCTCGAAGCTGGACCTCATTTGATGACCAATGTAACATAGAAAATACTGTTGCATGCTTTGACTATGTTATGTAACTAAAATTGTAAGAAATGGTAGAATCCTAACTCAGTACTATTGAGTCTTTAGACTGTTTGAAACCATCTTGTTGAAGTGATTTTTTTTTTGTACATGAATTGCATTCATACTAAAAATTATAATGTACCAATTTTATTCATCACTTCCCATAACAAATATAGGGGTGTTAGGAAAAACATGTGCAAGATAAACTTGGGTAGACTGGAAGGCAGACTGTAGCCCAAAGACATGGGGGAGGTCCTGATTTTTCTGCTTTCTGCATTTTCCAAAATCCCTTGCTCTTTCAACTTCCTTGGTACCACAGAGCATTCCATGTGAAAGGGCAGTTCTGCCATGAAAGCAGCACCTTCATGTTTAGCGTGTGCTTCCTGCCTGCATTCACTCACCTCTGACTACTGTACTGACAAAAATAACACAACTGAACCAATATCCAAAAGAGAAGGCCAGCTGGATTCTGCTCTTTATATGAATCACCAGCAGACTTAGTTCCTCTTAATTGTATTTGTGCAAAATCATTGAAAGCTGTGAGACTACCCAAATGTCACTGAGGCTTAATTTGTCCTGCAGAGCTTTTGTTATTAGCACTGAAAAACAAGGAGAAAACAGGCTAGTTTGACTCTCCTTTCACACCTGGAATTTGCAGGGCTAGCAGTTATGGACAAAAGCTAACCTGCATGTGGAGGGTGCAGGAGGTGCTGGTGTGGTCACACCCCTCCTTTGTCTGTGTCACACATGCACAATTATTTCTGACCCCACTGTCTGGTCAGGGCAGGCTCCTGCCAGAGCTCTTCATGTGCACTGAGGATAGGAGGTGAGTGATGCTGCTGTTTTCCCTCCCCCAACCCTACTGAATTCCTTGGCAGGGGAAAGGAGGGAATGAGCATCACCCCCTGGGCTCTGGAGCCACTTGCAAGTAGTGGCTTTGGCCATAGCTCATGGTGATCAGCTGGTGAGTTCATAATGCCCACTCTCAGAACTATAGCAGAAGCCCAGTGCTGACAACTGCACATGCAAAGCACAGCCAAAAGAAGGTGTGGCTGCACTCCCCTCCGTCCAGTGCTGGATCCGCTGCTGGTTAGGAAAGATATTTGTAAACTGAACATGTATTGTGGTTTAAAGACCACTTCTTATAGCACAACCACATTTCAGGATGACCACCATGGCAGTAAAGATTGTGAGGGCATAAAGTTGTTTGGTTTACTACCGTACACTATGGAAGGTCCCCTACTTTTTGCCGTATGTCAGCATTTTAAACCATGGTACCAAAATAATTTGAAAAAAATAAAAATCTGGAAAATAAATCTATATAAAACTTTTTCATACCACTCCATTAACAGAAAGCAGCTGGTCTCCCCTCTTGAGTCCTCCATGTCTTTCTGCCACCCCTCCAGGAATGATGCGAGAAATATATATAGGAGAATTCTGTTCCTTTCCTCCCATAACATTAAAGCCCAGGCCTTCATCTGTCTTTGGCAGTTCAACGACTCGAGGATGTGAATGCCCCTCACTTGCTGCAAAAGCAGCAACCGTTGCCTGAAAGAAAAGACAATGATATGGCTGTATAATGAGAACATTGTTAATCCCTGTTTGTGGTGTAGGAAGAATTAATTAATATGAAAGTACTATTTTGAAGTCCTAGCATACCTTTTTGTAAAAGCATTTTACAAACCTTAAGTTCCATTTGCCCCTTTGAAATATGTGGGTAAGGCTAGGCACAGATGATAAAAGTGACTTGTCTAAGGTAACTCCAGCAGCTTAGGGATGCAGTTGCACACCTGGTACACAGGGGTCACAGTGACTTGTGGTTGCCACTGCCATCTTGTGACTGCCAGCAGCAGCTGCTTTTTATTGCTTTCTGCCCCCAGCCCCCTTGCCTCCCACTGCCGCCCCTAAGTCGACACTTGTGGTGTGTCAGGGTGCCTGGTGCAGAAGCACTGCTGGCACTGCCCTTGCTATAGTACTGGGTCACCCAGTAAATTACTGGCAGAAGTACAACCAGATCCCAGCAGGTCTGATTGCTAATCATCCTGTATAACCACTCTAACTTCTATACTAAAATGGACTGTTCTTTTGTGGCAAAGTATTTGCTTTACTGCTGTGCAAGACAATATACACTTTTTCTTCTGTGCTTTTAGTGCATATATAAACTGGATGAACTGCACTGTTTATTCTGCACTCCTTCCCCATGTGTATGGGATTTATTATTTCATTTTTCATTAAAAGAAAGATTCCAGAAAAGATATTTTTTTTTACTTCTTTTATAATCCAAGTAAAGTTTTCCCCTTGAATTAAGCAATGACTCATTAATAACCATTGGAATAGCAGCAGAAGTATATATCTGGTAGCTTTCTTTAAACTAGGTTGGTCTGGAAAAATAAGCTACAAATATTTTGGATTTGGAACTATAAATTAATTAAATTTGTTCTAATCACAAAAAAAGAAATGTCAAATGTTGTAAAGAATGCTTCAGGAAAATAAAACATTTCTCATTAGCCGTTGACTAGCAACTGTCTTTAATTATGCACTCTGTTAAAGCACTACATTAACAACATTAGAAAAGTTGTATCAAGTTTTCAATATATCCTCATAACAGAAATTATTATAGCAATTCTGCATTGTGTTAATATTTGTTCAGCATTCTAATAAGGTTTATGCTTAATGGAAGCTAGTGGATGTTGTGAATATAATGGATCATTCTTAGTTACATGTACTTGTTCATGCAAACCTTGTCATCATGCATACATTAGATGTCAGACATGAATGCACTGTGACTAGGAGAATGCAATGCAGACAGCCCAGAAATAACCAGGAAGTATTGCGATATTGAAACATTGCTCTGTAATCCTGCTGCTCTATATGAATAAGAAATGAGAATGGCAGATACTATTCAGAATTCCACCCTCACCCTCCTTTGTTACACCACATAGTAGTATGTTTTGGTATTTACCTAGAGATAAACAGATAATTCATGATCTAACATAAACCTTACAAATCTACATTGTTCATTTGAAGTTTCAATCAGAAAAAAGGTTAAAAAAATCATAAGAAATCAGCCTTCAGTAAAGCTAATTTAAGACAAAGAATGAAATAAGTTTTCCTGAATTAGACAGTTTATTTCAGCTTATTGTACAGTAGGCTAGTTAAACTAAAATCACTGGCTACTCTAGATAACACTTTTCTCAAATGCTGTATTTTAATCATTACCTATTTTGGGGGCCTATTTTTAAACAATAATCCCTAATGCAAACTCACAAGGTAAAATCCTATTCCCATTCAAGTCAGTGTAAGTTTTGCCATAAGTTCATTGGAAAAAGGACTAGCCCCCAAAACATCTTTTTTCCAGTAAAAGTTCTGGCTTTTCTAAATTATTTTTTCTGAATGATATCCCTTTTACGAAGGAAGGGCTAATCTTGTGCACCAAATGTTAAGGGAAAGAAGTAATTCCCTGTTGGACCTCCTGTCTGAAAGCAATTATTTTTATCCATAAAGTGAAATACAGTACATATCATGTATTTGAATATAGATGAGATGGTTTCATTGATGCAGGGGAGTCTGTACATAGGTACCATTCACTTTTAGCAAATGGAAATACCTAGGGCCTGTTTTTCAGAAGTGATGGGTACCTCCATCTTCCACTGACTTCAAATGGAGATATGGGTGCTCAGCTTCTCTCTCCAGCTGACATGCACAAGATTTAGAACAGATCACATGAGTATAGGGATGAACCTTAAAGGAAAATTTTCAGTAGAAGTATTGATGGTTTCAGGTATTATTCTACAGAATGAACCAGTAGATTTGTTTTTCCGAAATGATTTTTCAGTAAACCACCAAATTCCATTAAATCATTCTCTTTTCTTAAGCTACAGAAGCAGCATAAAGGTTAAATTTTCCATTGTGATTGTTACCTGGGAAGTAGCACTGGTTCTAGACTCTGGGCTGCCACTGATGTCTAAATTTTCTTACAGTGTACACACGAATACCTGAAACACACACGCGCACAGTCAATTACTAGGTAACTTTGGTAACACAGATTTCAATAGCTGCACATGTCCTACCTTTGCAGTGGCCCTGGCACGGAATTCTGGGCAGCCGTTAACAGTTATGGTTTCATGCATATATTGATATACCTAAAATGTTCACAGAAACAAAAAAAAAAAAAAGTTGTTATATTAACAAAACAAGGAATTTAACTAAATTTACACCAGGGAGAATAATTTCTTTCCATCATAAAACTATGCACCCCATTATCACAATTATAGAATTGTACATTTGTTACCCTACAACTACATATGGTTTTCTTGCAGTCAGAAACTTGTTTCTCATGATACCTGAAAGTCTTGCAATCTCTGGTTCCACCATTTTCCACACTTATGACAGCCATCTCCAATTATACAAACAAACAACCTCTTCTAGGGCACTTTTACACATGGAGGACTGGTGCCACCTTAGTCTGCCCCCACCAGCGACCAGTCAGGAACCGGGGGAGGGTTCCCCCTGTGGCCAATTGTGCCAACTGGGAAGTGGCTGCAGTGCTTCACCTGGTGCACCCTGGCCAGCCCTGCCCTGCCTGTCGCCTAAGCGGGGAACGTGGCCTATCAGGGGGTGTGCTAGAGCTCTTGGGCTGAACGTGCAGCCCCATGCACCCCTTATGCATCACCAATGCTTTTTACACATGCTTTGTTGAGTTCAGAGCAGACTTAATTAATGATGCAGTGATTAGAACACATAAGATTTCACAGATTTTATAGACATTAGGGCTGGAAGGGACCTTGGAACATCATCGAGTCCAGCCCCCCGCCCAAAGAGCAGGAAGTCAGCTGGGGTCATAGGATCCCAGCAAGATAAGCATCCAATTTGCTCTTGAAGGTGTTCAATGTAGGTGCTTGAACCACCTCCGATGGCAAGCTATTCCAAACCTTGGGGGCTCGGAGAGTAAAGAAATTCTTCCTTATGTCCAGCCTGAAACGGTCTTCCAGTAGTTTATGACTGTTCAACCTCATCATGCCTTGGGGCACTCTGGCGAACAAACGTCCCCCCAGATACTGGTGGTCAACCCTGATAAACCTGTAAGTGGCCACCAGATCACCCCTGAGCCTGCACTTTTCCAGGCTAAAGAGTCCCATGGCTCTCAGCCTGTCGTTGTAAGTTCTGTTTTCCTGACCTCTGATCATGCGCATGGCTCTTCTCTGGACTCTCTCAAACTTCTCCACATCCTTTTTGAATTGTGGATCTATCAAGGTCCCAATCCATAATGATTGGGACCTTGATAGATGTCATGAAACAAAACAGGTTCCCCCACTTTGTTTCCACTTCTGAGGTCATCCAGGTCCAGCAGATGGAGACAGGGCTAATAATTCACTGCCTTCCCTCCCTAAACTCAACCCATTGGCCCAAGCAGGAATTCCCCAAGTGCTGCAGGGAAACAGGGATCTGGATGCCTGCTTCCACCCTGGAGGCCAAAGAGCGGCAAGGCCCAGAGCTCGCCAATGCCACTGCCTAGGAAAACGGAATTGCTTTTCTGCGGGCTTGGCTGGCCAGGGAAGTCATGGCTCGGGAAGCAGTGTGAGAGGCGATGTGCGCTGGCTGCTTTGCACCGACCTGCTGGTGCATGCACAGAGTACACTGCAGCTGCTCCCCTTGCAAAGAGTGATGGCGCTCACTAGGGCCACACGTGGAGTTCACATGCACTAGCAAACACAACTTGCACAAACGAGCCCTCAATAGCCTGAATAGGACGTCAGAAGCCTAAACTCAGGCACCCGGGGAGGAGAACTGTGGCCTAGTACATCCCCTCCGTTGGAGGGAGGGCAGAGAGGGGAAGGGATGCTGGATGTTGGTGGGGGAATCCTTTTCATTTTCTAAAGCCCAGTAGAAAGAAGAGTAGACTCTATTAAGTGTGCTGCATCATCTCATGTATTCAGCATCCCCACATTTCAAAATGGCAGCAGGATGCTTTAACTAAAGCTCATTTGACTAGCTTTAGTTAAAGTGTCCCCGCGATTTTGAAGTGAGGAATGCTAAATACAGAAGATGCTGCAGACGTTTCAACTATAGCAGCTCCCAGGTGGCTCCTTTTGGGAGCTCCATGAATTAAAATGCCAACCCTGGAGCACATGTATAGGTGTCCCTAGTGACTGCCTTGAACTGTATAAATCCATTTCAAAATTATCTTGCAAGTATCTGTGACCTCTGAGCACCCTTGTGGCCCAGGCAGGAAGGTTATAAAGGTAAAAGACAAATTTCGAAGAAAGATCTGAAGGAGCGATATTAGAAGCAAATATTAAAGAATCTTTTTTGCTGAGATCTGTTAGTCAGCCATGACTCAGGATGGGGAGTAGGGGATGGCAGTCAGGATCAGGAACAAGAGGGCCCTTGAAACAGTGAGACCCCATATAATCAGGTAAGTGGCATAAAACTAAATCTGCCAATACCTGTTACTTTCTACCCACTCTGTTTTTTTTTTCTTGTTATATATTTTCTTGTCCCTAAGCCTCCCTTTTCACCCTTCCCCAAGAATACAGATATGACATTTTTTCTTATTATGTTTACCTCTAAGTCTTTGGCCATGGATGGAAATAGGAGGTGATGGAGTTCCAATGCTATGGTAAGAGATTTTTTATGAACTGGGAGTTTTTGACTACAAGATGTAGTGAAGACTAAGGCAGAAACGGGAGAAAGAAGACTTAGATGTAAATTGTGCTCCCTTTCAGTGACCTTCAGTATTTATTGTTTAGGATTAGAGAAGGCAGACTCTCCTGTCTTTGTAGATGCCCTGTTTAGGGCATAGAAACTGGAATTCACAGGCTGCTTGGCAGGACAGAAGGACACTGCTTGGAACAGAAATGGTGAAACATAGGTCTGGTTAGAATTGCTAAGAACCCCTCTCTATAGGAATTCAGTGTAATTTCTGCAAGACCATATTACATAGCAATTGAGTTCTGTACTTCTCTTACAAAGCCATAGGATTTTCTCAATTCTTATTATTTTGAGCAAAAGGCATAAGCTGAGTCATCTTTGTCCAATTTACATGGGAAGAGACTTGCTTTCTTTTGTGTATTGTCTATTCTGAAAGAAACCATTGGTCTCTAGCTGTTTCCAACTCTATAAGGAAAAGCCTACAAAATGCCTGTGCTGGATCAGATATGCAATGGTTTTCTATACAAATAACTTGTTTCTTCATACAAATATCACATTGAATAGATGATCAATTTGTGCTTACAAATGCACAATATATTTTATATGTATACTATACTAAAGATAAACGGTTGTATTTCTAATACAATGAAGAAAGATAGAGGTCAAGTTTAGAGAACCTTCAAAGTGCTAGACACTTTCTGAAAGTAGAAGATTGATTCTATCAGCAGAATATAAGCAGTACAAAAACAGTTCATAGAAGTAGTGTCTATAGGGATGAGACAGATAAAATGTACAGGCCAAAACATATTGCTTCTTTATGCTTAGGGGGAAATCCTAACCTTATTGAAGACAATGCAAACATTTACATAATGCGAGCCTACTGCAGTCATTTGTTCTTAATCTTAAAAACCAAAAATCCCAGGAGAACCAAACTACTGAGACGACTGAACGAGTGATTAGTGTGAAATCACTTTTGCTGGTGTTAAACCAGGTATAAAATGGATTAAACCTAACCAGTATTGCTTCAGGTAGCTGTTCAGTACTATCTCTAATCATTATGCTGTAGGAACACAGGATTTGTCACACCAGATCAAATTGCTACAGTAATGCAGTATTCTTTATAGTTGTTTACATCTGTACAAAGGGTTTGAACAGAAGACCTTATGGCCCCTTCCATCCCTGGCACTAAATTGCTTCAAAACCTGTAATGTACCTAGCCAATTATATAATCATGTACTTTCTTAATACCCTCAGGCCTGCTTTTGTCTTTAAGCATGAGATTTGATTATCTTCATTATCTCTCCTTGCACAGCTACAAATGTTGTTGCTAGCCACAAACTAGCAGCATATATTTGAGTTAATGAACTAGTATGGCAGTGAATTGTGCTGAGAATTAGCTAAAATACTTTATTCCAAATTCAGGAACATTTACTGACAATGTATTTAAGATATTCATTATATAGTTTGGATATGACAAACTAATGGATAATCATACACTCGGTGGTTATCAAGGTGCCTGTGGCAGGCTGAGATAGCAATTATATAGGTAATTAATTTGCACCTTGGTGAGAGAACAGTATGCCATTGAGCTACATTGGATAAAACTATGATCAGTTACGTAAAGGAGGAACTTAAAAAAAATCTGAGAGGATTGGAAAGATTTTAAAAGACAGCATATTTAAAATGGCATCTTCTAAAGCATCACAAACATTACCAGGGTGATCATAAAATCTGTAATATTTATTTAAAGTAAAAAACCTCTCTCATGTAGTTTGAACTCTATCACTGCAAGCAACAGATGATGTTAATGTTGAATACCAGCTTGATACAATAGTAAATCCAATTTCCATATTTGATTGTTACATAATGTTTAATATAATTTGAAACTGAGGAGAATAAAATATACATCTAAATGACTTTTGCATTATTAAGTTAAACAGCAATAAAAGGATTAACTGTACATGTCCCAATAAACCCTGTAGACTTACAGAGGGTACTGATTACCTATTCTTGTATCATATACAAAACATACACAGGGGCCTATAAATATGTCTGTATCTCCTTAGCTACATTATCTCAGTACCAATTTAGGTATTTAGAGATGTGTTCTGCACAAAGAATCCATCCTGTTGTTTTTCTTTTATACACAGACAAAATGAAAATGTTTTTTGTCCCCAAGGTAAATGAAATAATTTTTTAAATTCTCACAAATGAGAACAAAGCTTTTGGTTCAACACATAGTATGCATCAAGGAAAAGATTTTATAATATCTTTTTGCAAATCCCAACATATGTAATAAAACCTTCTGAAGAAAGACTTTTAATGCACTGCTATTCTTATAAATTCAACAGGATTTTTTTCTTTTTAGAATGTTTTATATGATTCACTATTGTTACAGTTCTTTAGGCTAGATACAGACATTCAAAAAGCACTAGGTGAAATCAATCCAAGTTGCACAGCTTCCTGTAAGTGGCATAGTTTAGATCGGTAG